CTAAAAGTACAAAAATTAGCTGGGCATGGTGGTGCACGCCTGTAATCCCAGCTCCTTGGGGGCTGACGCAGGAGTATCACATGAGCCCAGGAGGTGGAGGTTGCAATGAGCCAAGATCATGCCACTGCACTCCAGCCTGGGCGATACAGCAAGACTCCAGCTCCAAAAATATATATATATAAATAAATAAAAATAGTGTATAACAACGTCCTAGGCCTTCACATTCACTCACTAGTCACTCACTCATCCACAGCAACTTCCAGCCTTGCAAGCTGCATTCATGGCAAGTGCCCTGTAGAAGGGGACCATTTTTTATCTTTTATCCCGTATTTTTACTGTACCTTTTCTGTGTTTAACTATGTTTAGACATGGTACTTTTTTTTTTTTTTTTTTTGAGATAGTTTTGGTCTTTTCACCCAGCCTGGGGTGCAGTGATGTGATCTCAGCTGACTGCAACACCTTCTTCCTGGTTTCAAGCAATTCTTGTGCCTCAGCCTCCCGAATAGCTGGGATTCCAGGAACCCACCACCATGCCTGGCTAATTTTTGTATTTTTAGTAGAGTTGGCTAGGCTGATCTTGAACTCCTGACCTCAAGTGATCCATAGATATGGTACCTTTTCTAAGTTAGCCGTGTTTAGATATTTATCACTGTGTTATAGTTGTATACATTATTCAGTACAGTGTGCTGTAGAGGTTTGTAGCCTAGGAGGAAGAGCTATACCTTGTAGCCTAGGTGTGTAGTGGGCTGTACCATCTAGCTTTGTGTAAGTACACTCTATGATGTTTACGTAACAACCACCTAACAGCACATTTTTCAGAATGTATCCTCATCTTTCAGCAACACATGCCTTACATGTACACACACACACACACACACACACACACACACACACACTATTTAGGCAACTCAAATGTTATGAGGTAAACAACAAATGTAGATGGGGGGCAGATTTAAATCCAGGTGGCTAAGTTTGAATAAGTTCCCTATGTTAATAGAATTAAGTTCCACAGCTGATGTAACTGACTGAACCTTGATCTGTAAAGCTGAGCCTGCCTTATAGGGTCTTATGAAGGTTCCTATTTGTGTGTATTCATATTTTGTCAAGCATTTGGAATAATGCCTGGCACATAGTAAGCACTTGGTGACTGCCGATGAAAGAAGTACAGTAAATGAGGCTCCAGGCTTGATCCTCAGAGACTTGGTCAGCAGGGAGGCCCCTTCTTATTCTTTGATGCCTCAGATGAGGAAATGCCTGTTGGAGGGGATTTCACACCTTTCAGAAGAAGGCCCCATTGTTCCCAGCTGACCCTCATGGAGATAGGACTCAGTAAATGCTTCTTGAATGAAGCCTTAGGTGGTTGGACCAGATCAGTCTTTCTGTGGGAGGATAGCGAGATGATTTTAGGTGGTACACATACGTTTACCATTTTCATAGTTAGCTATTTATTAGTGTTGTGGTAGTAGAAAATATTAGGCGGCACCTCAGACCTAAGTATTTTTAAAAAGTGAGTGATTAAAAGACACAGTAAATTGAACAGGTGGCATGTGAATGTCTTGGAAACTGAAAGCATTTGCGTATTGAAAGATGGGGAAAACGAGGTCTTTCCAAATCTGAGATGTTTGATTCTTTGAATCTGGGCTTTAAATATGAAATCAGATTATACAAGTAGAAGTTATATACTCTGGGTTTTGTGAGCAGATACGCGTAATGGAAATTGACAGGCAGAACTAGATGCATAGTGTCATTGTCATGCAGGGTACAGAGATAATGGGGCTGTTAACACTTTGGTGTCTGCTCTGGGCAGCCTTCTGTGTGTATATATCTAACAAAATTGGGAACATCCTATACATCAAATTTGTATTCGAGTTTTTCACCTGAAATTATAACTGCATTCAGTGTTCCTACAGAGAAATCTTTGTGCCCATTCTTAATGATTTTCTTAGGTTAAGTCCTAGAAATGGGATTGTGTGGTCATTGTGTATGCATGTGTTTCAGGCCTTTTATACTTGTCATCACAGTGCCCTGCAGTACGATTGTGCCAGTTTAAGGTTCTGGCAGCTTGAGTGCCCTGTTCCTTATCCCTCTCCAAAGCCAAGTTAGTTTAAATAATAGTTTTGTGGCTAATTTGCTCAGCAATTGGTCCAGTTACTCTCCAGCTGATGTCCTGTAAATCCTGAAACTTGCTGCTTGTCTCCCTTCAGAACTCCCATCAGCAGTGCCGACAGCACTCTCCTCCCCACTGCCCAACACTGGCTGGCAAATCTTTTCATCTTGGCCACTCCGATGGGCTGGACAGTGACGTCCCTTTTCCTCGTGTGCATGGAAACCTGTTGCAGTGACCTGGGTTTGAGGAGGGGGAGGAGGAAAGTGTGAGGGGCACTAGGAGGTGGGAGCTGCTGGGAGTGGCAGGCTGGTGTGTCTGCATCTCACCACTCTCCACTGCACTGCTGACCGTGGACAGGTGCTCCTGAGGTCAGTCCCAGATGCCCGCCAGCCCCTGTGCCCTGAGCCTGCTTCTCCCTCCAGCCTCTTCTCCAGTATCGTACTGTCCTCCAGCCTCCATGCCTCCTGTCTGTACTGGACGTTCTGGTGTGTTCTCTGAGCCTTTCTCCCTGCCGTTCCTCCTGTCTGGAATGCCTCTTGGACACCTGACTCTCCCATTCTCCAGGGCTCACTACGGACATCACCTTCTGAGAGAGCCTTTCCCCTGTCACCGTCCTCTCCATGAGTCACAGCCTTCATTACTCATCATCTTGTCATATCTGCCTCTCTCCTTTCTCTCCTTGTTTACCACTGTACCCCCAGTGCCTAGCACTTGGCAGACACCCACATGTTCCTTGACTAAACTAGTCCTTTTGAATAGTGTGAAGAATCCGGAGGTGGGAGGATAGAACCTGCTCTTTATTATTCAAGAGAGTAGTTTTGTAAGTCCAACAAGTTATGGCTTCCAGAGGGTGGCAACTTGATCAGCTTTGGGCAAGTGCCTTCCTTGTGGAAGAAGTCAAACAGTAACTGGCTGTTGTTGCATTGATGTTAGGGTTGGCCAAATCATTTCCAGGGCCCCTTCTAATTCTTAAAACTGGGATGAGTATTCTCATCTGTGGGTTGCTGGTTTTTGTTTCAACTGCAGATGTGGCTTTTACCACTAGGTGACACTATATAATTTCCTTGAAAACAGCGTTTCCCAAACTGCCAACCACAGTAAGAAAATACATTTTTCATTGCACTTATGCCCTCAACACACACAAAACAAAAGTAGGCTGGGCACGATGACTCATGCCTATAATCTCAGCACCTTGGGAGGCGGAGTTTGGAGAATGACTTGAAGCCAGGAGTAAGTATCACGAATGTCTTAACCTTTACCTTATGTAATGCATCCTATTGTTTTACTTTGTTCGACATTTTGAAAAGTAATGCAGGTTTGCAAATGAATTGATTTTATTAATGGGTCATGATTGTTTGAAAATCATTTTTTTTTTAAAGTATACTGTTATAAAATTGTATGGGTGGCTGGGTGTGGTGGCTCATGCCTGTAATCCCAGCACTTTGGGAGGCCAAGGTAGGCAGATCATGAGGTCAGGAGATTGAGACCATCCTGGCCAACATGGTGAAACCAGGTCTCTACTAAAAATACAAAAAAATTAGCTGGACATCGTGGTGCATGCCTGTAGTCCCAGCTACTCAGGAGGCTAAGGCAGGAGAATTGCTTGAACCCAGGAGGTGGAGATTGCAGTGAGCCAAGATCGTGCTACTGGACTGTAGCCTGGACGACAGTGTGAGACTCAGTCTCAAAAAAAGTCAAACAAAAAAACCCAAAAATAACTGTGTGGGTATGCTGTTTTCCTTGGACAGTATGAGCTTGTATAACAGATCGTGTCCATTAGTGACTATTTTGCATGTTTCTGTGGTGAATTGCTGCATGGAACAGCTGAACATGTGCTTCCTTGTGGGTGTCTATGGATGAGAGAGATTGTACAGAATTCAGCTCTTATTGTAGTCAGACCAGAGGTAAGCCTTAGTAGTAGATTTAAAGCTATATTATCTGCTTCTGGAAACTCAGAGACATGACATACCATACTCTAAATTTCGCCTTACTTAGCAGACAAGAAGAAATAGGGCTATTACTCAGGGCATCGTTCGGATGCTTTGGGCTGCAAGTAGCAGAAGGCTGACTCAAAGTGGCTAAAAAGGTAAAGACACTTATCGTCTCACAAAGTAGATGTTGCAGTAGCATTGGCTACTGGCACGACCCCTGCATCCCACTGAGCATGGCCCTTGGGATCCAGGTTCTTTTCATGACCTGGATTGGTTCCACTCCTAAAGTTGGTTCCACTCATGGTTGCAAGAAAGCCTCCAGTGCTTATCAGGGTTTCAGCTCCCAGGCTTGAAACACAAAGCCTTAACTCCTTGTAGTATAGACTGGGTAGAGAGAATTAAGGCTACTGTGGCATTTTCCACATTGTTTTGTTTGTGCTTGCTTTGTTCACTTCTTCCTGGTTTCCCCACTATGACCTTGCTAAAAGGAATGGAATGATTGGCACCTAATACAGAGTCAGGAGAAATACTTAGCTTAATCGGTGACATTTGCCAGATACTTCTGTCTCTTTTCCTCTGGGCACAGGCCTTTCATTTAGCGCAATTAACTGACTAGCTCTGGGCAGTGAGTTTGCGGAGTGAATATATGGCTGCACATCTGTATGAAGCATGAAGTGAGGTTGTTTGCTGTGTAGGGTCCTGGGAAATGAATCAGCAATGTGAGGGAAGGGAGTGAGAGGGCCCACTGTGGGAAATGTGTTGGGCAGTGTAATGTGAACATAAAGATGGATGAATGGCTGAGTCTTCACACGTGTAATGGGGCATAAATGTGCAGTTGGCCTTTTGAGGTGGGTGGTTGGTTTTCCTCGAGGTCCTTGACCTGGTTCCCGGAAACTTGGCAGTGGACTTTGGCTTAACCTACTCAATCTCTACTCACCTTCCTCCTTTTTCGTCCCTTCCAGGTTTGCAGTAAGCATTGGCTACTGGCACGACCCCTACATCCAGCACTTTGTGAGACTGTCTAAAGAGAGGAAGGCCCCCGAAATCAACAGAGGCAAGTGACCATCTCCCTCTTCATCAGCACCTCAGCTGCCTAAGGTTTCAGGGGTTCATTCTTGAAGGGAGTCACAGTGTGCTCCCTTTCCAGCCATGCACAAAAGTTTTTATTTCCCCACATCCTCACCAACACAGTGTATTATAACTTGTTTACAGCCATAAAAAAGAGTGAGCTCATGTCCTTTGCAGGGACGTGGTTGAAGCCAGAAGCCATCATTCTCAGCAAACTAACAGAGGAACAGAAAATCAAACACTGCATGTTCTCACTTATAAGTGGGAGTTGAACCATGAGAACAGATGGACACAGGGAGAGAAACATGACACACCCGGGTCAAGGGGAGGAAGAGCATTGGGTCAAATACCTAATGCATGTGGGGCTTAAAACCCAGATGACAGGTTGATAGGTGCAGCAAACCACCATGGCACGTAACAAACCTGCTCGTTCTGCACATGTATTCCGGAACTTAAAGTAAAAAAAACCCCAAAAAACCACAATATCTACTTCCACATTAAAATCATAATCATTTTTGAAATTTTATTAAATTTAATGAATTGGAAAAAAACTTGTTAATCTGCCATGTGAAACATGATATTATAATTTTAAAAATACTTCTCCTATTTATAGGTGATGCTGAGCTTCATTTTCATGTTTGAAGCCTATTTAAGTATCTTTCACTGTAAACTGTCCATATCAGGAATCACTTTTTTTCCCCAATGAAAAAAATACATAAAGCTTTATATTTCACATACGTATGCCTAGGCTGATTAAATAAATATGGAGAAATTGCTTTATAGTACAGGTATGAGGGGGAGAGTCTCTTAGAATTTACATCAAGACTTTTCCTCTGTTTGGTTGAGGGAGAAAGGGCACTATTTTGCCTATGGCTCATCTAGGTATGTGGAATAATTATGTGGATTTAATTGGGTTCTTCTATGAGGAGATATACCAGAGGCTTTTGTATATTTTAGGCTGAGCATATCTGAGTTTTCACGCCTCTTGTCTGGGTTTATGAATCTTCCCTAAGGAGGGAAATTGAAGATTTCTGCCTATTTTCATAGCTTAAGGGTTGTAAGTCTAGAGGACATGGGTCTTTTACAGCTTTGTTGACGTTCCTCACTGTGGGTGGGAGGGAAAGTGTTGTGAGACTTGGTAATTCTCAGATGAGGGAGGGCTCAGAGGTGCTGACAGCAGTAGTCCTAGGCTTAGAAGGTTTGGCATTCCTTCTCCTGCTCTTGAGGCAGATTTCCTAATAAATGCGGCACAGGCGAAGACCCCCACCCCATGCCCTGGCAGCACCCCTCTCTTCTACCCTGGATTTGAACCTTTAGAATGCAGCCAAATTGGAGAGTACCTCCCAAATGGTGAGGACATTTTTTCCTCAGTGTCCCATCCATCATGCGTGATATCTCTGTAAAATACAACAAAAATGATCTAGAAAAATTATACAGTGTACAATTCCAAATCATTTATTAGATTGAACAGACATGAAATTTCTCTCTCAAGTTGTAATAAAGTTTCTAAATGCTATCAGATTTTGTTCTTAAGATAGTCACATACCGTTAACAGCCATGCATATGCTTCAAGCAGCAGAGCTTTAGAACACAGACCTTGTGGGCTTCTCTTCCTTATTTCCCATCACCTTTTCCCCAACCCTCCACCTGAAAACTTAACAGTGGTGGAATCTTGGGCCACTGAAACCTCTGCCTCCTGAGTTCAAGCAATTCTTGTGCTTCATTCTCCCAAGAAGCTGGGATTACAGTCATGTACCACCACACCTGGCTAATTTTTGTATTTTTGGTAGCAAGTCATTTTATTAGGCAGCCATTTCCTGATCTTTGCGACCCCACTTTTGTATAGAGACCCTAACCCATTCAGGGTGGAGATGAAAGGAACAGGATAACAGATATAGCTTCCTTTGCGTTAGCATTTATATGCTCAGTTTCCTGAGCCATAGTATTCTTTTTCATATGATCTCACAATTTTCAGGTTTACCAGAGTCCAGAGTAGCTTTCACTATAGCCATGAAAGGCACATTTCCATGTGCCATTTGGATCAGACGTTTCAATGTAAAACACTTATTTTTCATACATTAAACTACAGCACACTTTTTCAAAGGTAGTTAATTGCTTCTTGAAATATGGTTCAGATGCCTTTAACCAAAAAAAAAAAAAAAAAAAAAAAAAGCTGCCGTTTCTCCTACAGAGTCTGCAGAATAACCTGACACTGCAGAAGAGCACATGCTTTCTGTTTCGCTCTTCTGCTGGGGTGGGCTTCGCAGGGATAATTTCTGTCATCATTGGGTGATAGCTTGTTTCTGTGACCCCTCTCAGGATACTTTGCTCGAGTCCATGGTGTCAGTCAGCTTATAAAGGCATTTCTACGGAAGACAGAATGTCATTGTCAAATTATCAACCTTGGGGCAGGGATGGATACCACCTTCTGGAGATTAAAGGTATGTTCAGATTCCCCTCCTCTCTCCCCAAGCGTTTAGATTTAATTTTTGGAAGATTTTCACCAAATTCGAAATTAAAGAAATATTAAAAGTTATGTAGCAAAAGCCTGTCCCCCACCCCTATCCCATCTGCCTAGACGCCCCTGTGACTATCAGTCCTGTTTTATCTCAACAGGGCCTTAGTGACAGATATTTTAGGTTTTCTCTAATTGTTGTTACAAGTGGGGCTATAATAAAAATCCTTATATTTCCCTCTGCATGTGTAGAAATATATCAGGTGGAGAAATTCCACCAGTAGAATTGCTGGAATGGAGAGCCTATGCATGCATATGTAACTTTTTATTTTTTGAGCCAGGGTCTTGCCCTGTTACTCAGGCTGGAGTGCAATGGCACAATCGCAGCTCATATCAGCCTCCAACTCCTGGGCTTAAGCCAGTCCTCCCACTTCAGCCTCCCAAGTAGCGGTCTTTGACTCCTGGGCCTAGTTTTTTTTTTTTGTTTTTTTTTTTTTCCCCGAGATAGAGTCTCGCTCTGTCACCCAGGCTGGAGTGCAGTGGCGCAGTATAGGCTCACTGCAGCCTCCACCTCCCAAGTTTAAGCGATTCTCCTGCCTCAGCCTCCTGAGGTAGCTGGGACTATAGGCACATGCCACCACGCCTGGCTAATTTTTGTGTTTTTAGTAGAGACTGGGACGGTTTCCTGACCTCATGATCTGCCCGCCTCGGCCTCCCAAAGTACTGGGATTACAGGCCTGAGCCACTACGCCTGGCCTCCTGGACTTAGTTTTTATAGCCAAATGGTTTCCTTACAAAGTCCTCACTGTGGTGGCTCACACCTATAATCCCAGCACTTTGGGAGGCTGAGGCAGGCGTATCACTTGAGGTCAGGAGTTCGAGACCAGCCTGGCTAACATTGTGAAACCCCATCTCTACTAATAATACAGAAATTAGCTGGGTGTGATGGTGGGCACCTGTAATCCCAGCTACTTGGGAGGCTGAAGTAGGAGAATTGCTTGAACTCAGGAGACGGAGGTTGCAGTGAGTTGAGGTCGTGCCACTGCACTCCAGCCTGGGTGACAGAGCAAGACTGCATCTCTAAAAAAAAAAAAAAAAGTCCTCACCAATTGCATTTTCTCTTTTGTAGGTTTGTACAGATTTTGCTTGGTTCTTCTATTAGGTCCGTCATGTGACAGTAATAGGTATGTGCGTTTCTCCAGATTTTTTGCGGATGTTGACCAAGACCTGCTTATCTGTTTTGTCCTTAATCAGTTCACCTGATACGAAGGTGTCTGGTCATCAGAGCTCTCAGCCTTTCTCTTAATGAAGTGAGAAATCGGTGGCCTCAACGTGATGTGGGTATTTGTTTGCCTCTGCATTCTCTTCTCAAGATAGAATCACTAACATTGTGAAGTGTTTTTACATATGCGACCTCATGAATTAACATAAAAACTCTCCAACGGTGTTTTACCCAGATGAAGGAAATGGGACTGCAAGATTGTCTTCCAGAATCCTACAGTCAGAGGCTCGGGGACAGGGCGCAAGCATAGGAATTTGCCCATTAAACTCCAGATTTCATCTTCTTTCCTCTGCACACATAGCCTCTGTGGTTATTCAGGAGGGTGACCTTCCCTTTTCTGTACATCTGTTGTGTCTTTGTTTTTCTGTCTTTGTTGTTGTTTTTCAGACAGTCTCACTCTCTCACCCAGGTTGGAGTGCTGTGGTGCCATCTCGGCTCACTGCAACCTCCCCCTCCTAGGTCTAAGCGATTCTCCTGCCGCAGCCTCCCTAGTAGCTGGTACTACAGGCGTTCACCACCACACATGGCTAATTTTCGTGTTTTTAGTAGAGATAGAGTTTCACCATGTCGGCCAGCTGGTCTCAAACTCCTGGCCTCAAGTGATCCACCCATCTCGGCCTCCCAGAGTGCTGAGATTATAGGAGTGAGCCGCTGCACCCAGCTGACCTGTTGTGTTTTTGTAATGACTTGTCCTGTGCTGTGGTGTGAGGAACTGGAGCACAGTACAGTGTAAGAGAATGTGCTATGTCAGTGTTAACAGAGGCTGCTGGAGAGATCCCTCCATTGGACTTGAGACCCCTTTGACTTGTCACGCAATTTTTCTTCTCCTGTCTTGTAGGCGGGTTAATAATTAATAAACCTGAGCTTCTTATTTCTGAGCAAAGTACACTGAGGCTTATGTACCCCTTCTTAGAAAAAGGCAGTCAGTCAGTCGTGAGGAAGGAGGACTGTATAGTGTCTGAAAGTTCTTTGTGGAAATGTTTTGACTTTGATTGATAATTATATTGAGCTGAAGGCCTTTTTTGTTTGAAGTTTCTTTTAAAATATATATATATATGTTACATTTGTTTGCTGTTTTAGAACAGGTGTTACAAACTGTAGCCCATGGCCAAATCTGGCCCACAGCCTGTTTTTGTAAATAAAGTTTTATTGGAAGACAGCCATTCCCATTTATTTGCATATTGTGCTTCAGCAGCCATATGACAGTTATAACAGCAGAGTTGAGTAGTTACAACAGAGACCATCTGGCCTGCAAGGGCTAAAATATTTACCTTCTGGCTCTTTACAGAAGCAGTTTGCCAGTCTGTGTTTTTGAGGTATGTGCTTGTCTCTAAAAGTGTAGAGAAAACCTTGTCTGTGGGTCTTAGTGTCTCATGCACCTTCCAGCTGGGATGGTTCCCAGGTTGCACCAGCAGAGGTTTAGCTAAGAATCAAGGGTGTGAGCTTGTTCCATAAAATCTCAGAAGCCCAGGTCTGTACGTTTGAAGACTCCCATCTGCTGGCAGTGAGCAGGAACAGGACAAAGAAGAGTCAGTCTTGTCACAAAAAGGAATAAGGGGGCCACGTATGGTTCATCACACTTGTAATCCCAGGACTTTGGGATGCTGAGGCAGATGAATTGCTTGAGCTCAGTAGTTTGAGACCAGCCTGGGAAATATGGCAAAACCTCATCTCTACAAAAGATACAAAAATTAATCAGGTTTGGTGGTGCACACCTGTGGTCCCAGCTACTCAAGAAGCTGAGGTGGGAGGATCACCCGAGCCCCAGAGGTTGAGACTGCAGTGAGCCGAGATTGTGCCACTGCACCCCAACCTGGGTGTCCAAGGGAGACCCTGTCTCAAAAAAAAAAAAAAAGAAAAGGAATAAAGGGAGAGTAAAACCCTGAAGGGTTTAAGGGGCCTTAATTTCTTGGTGTCTCCAGAATTGTTCCATAGAACCAATGGATCCGTACAACCTGCTTCCCTCCAATCTCCTTGTGGAGGGAAGCAGGGTCAATTTTGGCAGTCTGTGAGGTGGTCAGCCATGTTCAGTCCCCTTTGGGTCTCAGTGATGCCCCGTTCCCCCTGCCCTGTGGCAGCTGATCCCAGTCTCGGTGTCGTCCATACCAGGCAGTCACATGCAGGCTATTTGGGGTGGAATGTCAAAAGGGCTATCAAGAATCACAGAATAAGAAGTTGAAGCATCACTTGTCACAGCCATTTTGCCCCCTTCTCAAGAAACGAGGTTTCTTTCTTTCTTTTTTGAGACAGAGTCTCACTCTGTTGCCCAGGCTGGAGTGCGGTGGTGTGATCTCGGCTCACTGCAACCTCCATCTCCCACGTTCAAGTGATTTTTGTGCCTCAGCCTCCTGATTAGCTGGGATTACAAGTGCATGTCACCACGCCTGGCTAATTTTTGTATTTTTTGTAGTGACAGCGTTTCACCATGTTGGCCAGGCTGGTCTTGAACTCCTGACCTCAAGTGATCCAACCGCCTCAGCCTCCTAAAGTGCTGGGATTACGGGTGTGAGCCACCGTGCCCGGCAGGATATCTTTCTTAAGAGCTCCAGGTGTGCGTTTTGTAAGCTTTCTCCTCAGTGATCTCTTATTCAGAATTCTTACGAGGATCCAGCTGGCTAATGCATGGGAAAGCTCTTTAAAAAGGAAGAAGTCCCATAAGAGCTGGAGGACACTACGCTATCTTTCATTCATATACCTTTAATTGTTCCCATTGTCTTTTGGAATTTTAGGTAATCTTTAACTTCCCATATGCTGTGAGTAAAAGTTCTTAAAAGTGTTGTGGAAATTGAAATTCTTGGTGAAAGTTATTTCCATGTCCCCTCTACCCATGTCCTTCACGTATTGTGAAATAGCTTCTGCATAGCCCTACTTGACAGGCATGTGCCGTACCTCTAAGTGTAGACAGCTCAGATTAGTGAGCCCAGGTATCCTGGGATGTCCTGAGACGTGTGTGGTGTGTGTGTGTGTGTGTGTGTGTGTGTGTGTGTGTGTGTGTGAGAGAGAGAGAGAGAGAGAGAGAGAGAGGGAGAGAGAGAGAGAGACAGGATCTGGATCTGGATCTGTTGAGTGCAGTGATACAATTTTGGCTCACTGCAACCTCCTCCTCCCAGGCTCAAGCCATCTTCCTACCTCAGCCTCCCGAGTAGCTGGGGACTGCAGGTGTATGCCACCATGCATGGATAATTTGTATTTTTGGTAGAGACAGGGTCTTGCTATGTTGCCTAGGCTGGTTTCGAACTCAGGGGCTCAAGCAGTCCTCCTGCATCGGCCTCCCAAAGTGCTGGGATTACAGGTGTAAGCCACTGTACTCAGCCCTCCTTTTTTGTTTTAAAAAGATAAAGCCCAGGCTGGATCCCCTGGGATTCTGGCAGAGGACCAGTCTTTGTGTATTTCTCAGCCCTGATGTTTGCTCTTAAGAGTCACTTTCCTACTAGGATATGGTTGCTGGTGATTTCTGCCCCCATCATGCTGTCCACGGGGGGTCTGCTACCCTCTCACACCTCAGGATTCATCCATCCCTCCATACCTGTGCTTCGTCTCCTGTTACTGTCTCCATGAATGGTTCTCTTACCTGCCCAGTTACTCCAGTCAGAAACAAGGTGTCACCTTACCTTTCCTTTTCCTCCATGCTCTCCACCAGCGAAGCCATCACCAGGTTCTGGACGTCAGCAGTCTTCTTTGTTTTAAATCATAGTTCTGTATTTCTGGGATAAATGGTGACGGGGAGAGGAGGAGAGGCTGGGCAGGTGGGCTGGGCTGTAGAGTGCCTTGTTTCTTGCTGAGTCCTAGCGGTGTGCAGAGCTGCTGAAGGCCGCCTGAAGTGGATAGTGCAGTGCACAGCAGTGGGCAGCTTCGAGACACAAGAGGGGGCTCTGGGACAGTCTGGGCTGGAGGTAGTAGAGCTCAGGAGGTGTGGAGGGATTCCAGAGGCGTCAGCAGGGCATGTAAGTGATGGACTGGGTGGCTGGATGGCGGGGAGGGCATGGAGAGAATACTAGGATGATAGGATGATCTGTACCTGACTGGTTAGGGAGGGTATAGTTACCAAGCAGCCAGGTGAACCAGGGCTGTGCATGCACATGTGCGCGCGCATGTGTGTATGTCTTTCATATTTGTTTGACTACAGGCCACAGGAAAAAATAAATGTTACATCTCAAGCCAGGGCCCACATCTCTGTACCTGTGTCTGCAATAATAGAGGCACACACAGTGTTGATTTGAATGCTAGAGACCTCATTTTAGGGTGCTGCTTTCTTTTGATTTCTGCCCCACTTTCCTTCTTGTCCTGGGACCTTCTTTTCAGCATATTGTGCAGTATTCAAAACACAATATACCTTCCCTTCTTGTTAGAGCTCACGGGCTCTTTGGATTCCCATGTGATAATTTTACTTAGGTCAGGCCGTCTTCTATGAGCTCCACATGTATTGGCTCATTAATCCTCACAACCCCATGAAGAGTTAGCATTTTCTTCACTTTTCTACTTTTCTTTCTTTCTTTCTTTTCTTTCTTTCTTTCTTTCTTTCCTTTTTTGAGACAGAGTCTTACTCTGTTGCCAGGCTGGAGTACAGTGGCACTATCTCGATTCACTGTAACCTCTGCCTCCTGGGTTCAAGAGATTCTCCTGTCTCAGCCTCCTGAGTAGCTGGGACTACAGGTGCATGCCACCACACCCAGCTAATTTTTGTTTTTTTAGTAGAGATGGGGTTTCACAAACATGTTGACCAGGATAGTCTTGATCTCTTGACCTCGTGATCTGCCTGCCGCGGCCTCCCAGAGTGCTGGGATTACAGGTGTGAGCCACCGTGCCCGGGTTCTTTTCAGACAAATAAATCCTGACCCAGTGAGTTTACCGACTTTCCCAAGACCTTATAGCATATAAGTGACGGAGCTAGGGCTTGAGCCCTGCCCTTCCAATTCCAAGGGCGCCAGTTCTTTTATTTACCGTACTTCACTGTCACAGACAAAAATATATCAGAGGTTGGGTGCCTGTAATCCCAGCCACCCTGGAGGCTGAGGCAGGGAGAACTGCTTGAACCTGGGAGGTGGAGGTTGCAGTGAGCCAAGATCATGCCGTTGCACTCCAGCCTTGGTGACAGAGCGAGACTCCATCTCAAAAAAAAAAAAAAAGACCAGGTGCAGTGGATCATGCCTGTATTCCCAGCATTCTGGGAGGCCGAGGCGGGTAATTTGCCTGAGTTCAGGAGTTTGCACCCAGCCTGGGCAACATATGAAACCCCGTCTCTACTAAAAAAATACAAGAAATTAGCCGGGCATGGTAGCATGCACCTGTAGTCCCAGCTACTTGGGAGACTGAGGCAAGATAATTGCTTGAACCTGGGGGATGGAGGTTGCAGTGAGCCAAGGTTGCACCACTGCACTCCAGCCTGGATGACAGAGCGAGACTCCATCTCAAAAAACAAAAAGAAAAGATATCAGAAAATAATACCCTTAATATATGTGATGCTTTTGATACTAGCCATTTTAAGTTATCTCATCCAAAAAATAATGCTGGTCAAAACCTACTACATTGATTTCTTGACCCTCCTAATAGATCTCAAGCTGCTTTTTTGTTGTTGTTAAATCTTTTACACTTTTTAATTTTTTCATATATACAGGGTCTCGCTATATTGCCCAGGCTGGTCTCAAACTCCTGGCCTCAAGCGATCCTTCTGCCTCAGCCTCCTAAAGTGTTGAAATTACGGGTGTGAGCCACTACACCTGGCCTCAAACTGCGTTTTGAAAATACTGAGTATATTCTACTTCCAAAGCGCGTCTCAACTCCTCTCCACCTTCCCAGCTGCTGCCTCCTACCTCAGGCTCCTCTCTGAACCTTACCTTCTTACCTGGCCGACTCCTCTGGCCTCCTACCTGTTGACCTTCCTCTGTGCTTTCTTCCCTCCAACCTGTTCATGAACAATTTGAAAAACACATCTGCCCATATCAGCCCCCGACTGAAAATCCTTAAACACCCTATTGCTGTTAGGTGCCTAGTGCCTGGTATGTGGAAGATGATCAGCAAATATAAGAGTGAAGAAATAAAGAGTATTATGTGTTTTTCCTCAGGACGAAGATCTTCTCCCAAGTAAATATTTTGAGGTTGACTTTCCAATGATCGTCACGAGAAAGCTGCACAGCATCAAGTAAGTGTGGTCTGGCCAGAAGAACAAGAACCAGGTAGAATTCAGACTCAGTTCTCAGGAGGTGGCAGATCTGAATGCCAGAGACTTCACTGTAGGGTGCTGCCTCTTTCACTGCCCCCCACCAACTTTTTTTTTTTTGCCCTGGGACCCTCATTTCAGCATGTTGTACAGTCTGCAAAATGCAATATACTTTCCCCTTTTACAGATCACAGGCTCTTTGGCTCCCCATGTAATTAAAATTAACATGAGGCCAACCAGATTTCCTAGATGGGGTTTTTATTTTTGGGGCTTGTACTCAAGCATTAGGGAGACAGCAGAGGCGCAAAGACTGTCTGGTTGGCTCCCTGAAGAGGCTGGCAGGGATGTTTTTATTAGTGAAGCATGGAAATTGACATCAGGGGTACGGTAGGCAGGTTGAGCTGGGCAGAGCACGTGAGGGGTAGGGGATGCAGGTCCAAATATCTGGTTGCAACGGTTATCTTGGTTAATGGGCCATTTGGTGGTCTGGCTGGCGGCAACAAGACTGTCAATCAATTGTTCAGTGTTCCTTCCTGAGCTGGGACACTCCATAACCTTGGTTTCATATTTAGATTTCCTAAGGCCAGTTCCTGGAATTCTTTAAGTAGAAGGCATGGTTAAATATGAAGAAGTGACCCCATTCTATTTCTGTTCTATCTTATTCCCCCCCTGAGAGATTTCACCCTCTGTATTCTTAAGGAGAAGGGGGTGAAGGTCTCATCTTCTGGAACTACTTCCTGCTGAACAGGGGTGTCGTCCCTGCCTAACTTTAGGGGGTGGGGAAATCTCTCACTGACTGTTCTAAAGACCTGTAGGGACTGGGATGCTCCTGGGATGATATGGGTTGGAATCCTTGGGCCATCATTAGCTTGACTTGGAGCTGTTGAAACCTGAAAGACACAAACTTGACCAAAAGGTTAAAAATACAATACCCTGAAAGTAATAGCAATTAAATGACCACTTAGGGTTCGAAGAAAGGTAAAAACCATCTCATACTTTGTAGGTATCCTCTGAAGGAGCCCCAGATGGCTTGAACAGTAGAGTTATTAAAATTATGTGGCCGGGTAGCCTGCTGGTAAATCTTTATTTTTATTTTCTTCTGGAGATGGTGTCACTCTGTCGCCCAGGTTGGAGAGCAGTGGTGCCATCACGGCCCACTGCAGCCTCACCTTCTGGGCTCAAGCGATCCTCCCACCTCAGCCTCCCGAGTAGCTAGGAGTAAAGGCACGTGCCACTAAGACCACCTAATTTTTTTTTCTTTTTTTGGTATTTTTTGTAGAGATGGGGTTTTGCCATGTTGCCCAGGTTGGTCACAAATTCCTAGGCTCAAACAATCCACCCACCTTGGCCTCCCAAAGTGCTGGGATTACAGGCGTGGGCCGTTGTGCCTGGCCTTGGTAAATCTTTTGAACTTGCAGTTTAACCAATCCTGAACTGTTAACATAAGAACAACAGATGTGGTTTATTACTGCACATATCCCCCACCCCTACCCCTTGTTCAGTGAGAAGACAGTCCTGGGCAAATCTGTTGTCTAAGACAGCGTTTTTGGCCAGGGAGTGCAGAGAGGCTTGACGTCCTTTTATGCCTCTGCCTAAACTAGTTGTCAGTGTTTCAGGGGTTTGTATTAAGTTTTTGAAAGCTCCCTCACAGAATGCAAAGCCATCCCAAGGGTCTGCTAAGGGGCAGAGCCACCCCAAGGGGCTATTCCAACTGCTGCCAAAATTAGCCCTATTGCCCTTTTAGATTTCACATTTGTGATATTATGAACTGTTACTCCACTGGGACTTAAAGTACCTAACATGCATCCCTCATTGCATCATACGTTATCCACACAAGGGCATGCTAGTGCAAGTAACAGGTGAAATTGGCTGAGGGGTAGCTGTTGGTCAGATGGTAGTCTGGGTGTCCACAAAGGAACAAAATACCCCATGGGTGCACAAACTCACACAAGGTGAGAGGAGTTCAGGTGAGTGACTAGGCTTGGAGAGAGGCATGACTGTTTTGGCATGGGGGAAAAGGTAGCCTTCCTGAGCCCAAGCTTGATCAGGGTTTTTCTTTACTGCTGAGAGAAAACCTGGCAGGATTTCAAAGTAGGCAGTTCAACTTCTCTTTTTTCCTCTTTTTGGTGACTGAAGCATTTAGCAGTTCAAAGAGGTTTATACATTCAAAGGAAAGGGAGACACTTAGGTGTACCATAAGAGGTGCAGAGGTTATTTTAGGTTTCTATACCTCCTTTGTGAAGTTGGTAGTTGAGCTTTTAGGGAATGCAAGAGGGAGTCCGGATTGAGGAATTATTTCCTTTAGTGAGGATTTACAGACTTATGCTGCCTTTTCTATACATGTAGGGAAAGCCTTGACCCATCTTGTAAAAGCATCCACAAACACCAGGAGATAGTTGTACCCTAGATTTGTAGGCCTTTGAGTTAAAACTGCCTGCCAGTCTTCTCCCAGTTAAGCTCCCCTGTGTTGAACCGGTTTAAGTCAAGAGGGGAGAATTGGATGGGTTTGGGGATTATTCCGGGCACACAATTCACAGGCAAAGATTACTTGTTTTACAGTTTTTCTCAGTTCCTTTCTGATGAATATTTTATGGACAATATTCCATAAAACATCTCTCCCTTAATGTGGCATCATGGAGATGCTTAATAAGTTTCCACTGGTCAGTTTCCAGAATAAAAATCTTGTCACCATCTGTGAACCATCCAGCACTGATGTCCTGGTATCCCTGCCTCTTAGCTTCCTCTTGCTCTTGCTGTGAGTATTGTAGGTGATTAGGAAGGTTAATAGGGTCTGTCATTAAGGCCAACACATTGCTGGGCTCCTGTAACCAGGCTGCCTATTTTGCAGCCCTGTCGGCCCTATTTCCTTTCCTAGTGAGGGACCAGTCCCCCAGTGACCTTTGCAGTGGATGACTGCCACCTGGCAGGGAAGTTGTGCTGCTTCCAGGAGAAGTAGGATTGGATCCTTATGTATGCCTGGGGAATTTTTAGCTGTTAACATTCCCTTTTCCTTCCATATGACTGCATGGGCACGCAGCAGGAGAAACCTATACTTTGAGTTGGTGTATATATTTACTTCCTCCCCCTCTCCCAGTTGTGAGGCTCTGTTAAGGCCACTAGTGCTACTTTTTGTGCTGTTTTGGGGAGGAAGAGCCTTAGCTTCTGTAATCTCCTTTGGGCTTACTACTGCACGTCCTGCCTTTTCGGTTTCCCTCCACAAAGCTACTGCCATCAGGATACCATTCTGCCTTTGCATTCTCAAGAGGCATATCTCACAAGCCAGGCCTGCTGGAGTATGTTCTTTGGGCCCTGTGCCTTGATGCTGTGAGCCCTCATCATCTGTGGTTAGGAGTGAGGTTGCCATGTTCAAAGTCTGACATACCCTGAAAGTAGTACCCAGGGTGTCTAATAAGAGAGCTTGATAGTTGATCAGCCTCCCTGCAGTGAGCCAGTGGTGTCTCTTGGCTTCTAACCCAGTCTGAACCTAGTGGGAGTCATAGCGTCTGTATATTGTCCCTGTGTCAGCTTGGATGCTTCACAAAATAGCAGGGCAGTCGCTGCCACTGCCCTCCAGCAGCCAGACCACTTCTGTGTAACTGGATTTACCTGTTTTGAAAAATGAGCCATTGGCTTCTGAACAGGTCCTAAAGTTAAAGACTCCCAAAACTATCCCCAGTCTCTCACAAACATACAGGGTAAAACGTTTTTCTCAGTTGGGGAGTCCAAGGGTGAGGGCTTGACCCCAGCTCAGTTTTTAGGGCTTCAAAAGATTGTTGACATTTCTTCTCCCAGTACAAAGGCTTTCTTTCTTCCTCTTTTAGGGTCTCTCATAGGGGTTTAGCTGTCAGGCCATAATTTGGAATCCAAATATGATAGAAGCCCACCGTTCCCTGGAAACCCTGGAGCTGCCTTTTTGTTTACAGGACTAGCAATGAAGTGATTGCTTTTTCCAGCCCACAGCTAGTGTTCAGCTCCTGGGGTCAGAATGAACCCCACATATCAAACCTCCTGTAAAGAAATCTGGGCCTTGGATGGGGTGACCTTGTATCACTGCTCAGCCAGGAAACTCAAGGTTTTAATGACATGAAAATCTGAATCCTGCCATGTCTGGCTGACAACAAGTCATCCACATATTTTAATAAAGTCTTTTTCTGTAGGCTTAGCTCCCTGCGTTCCCAAAAAGGTGGGGACCTTCCCGGAAGCCCTGGGGAAGCACAGTTCATGTGTTATATGTGGCTTCCCTGGGTATCAGGGCTTTCTCCATTCAAAGCAAAAAGATACAGGGATTCGGGATGGAGACACTACACACAAAAGAGAGCATCCTTGAAGTCTAGTAGAGTGAAAACTGAGCATCTCCACGTATCTGAGCAAGTTTGGGACCACTGCTGGCTGGATGGGAATGACTGCCTTGTTACCCACCTTCAAGTCCTGCACAAAACCATATTCTCCATTAGGCTTCTTAACAGGTAGGATCGGAGTGTTGCCTGAGGACTGGCAGGGTTTAATTAGCCCTTGCTGTAGGAATTTATGGAGTAATGGCTGAATCCCATTCAGTGCCACAGGTTTTAGGAGGTATGGTTTCCTCCATGGGTAGCCCATCCCAGGCTTCAGGTCTGTCTTTACTGGGGGAACTTGATTAGTCTGTCCTAGGACTGAAGTGTCCCATAGTGAGGGAGTGACTTGATCCTTGCTTTCTTTGGGAATGTTTGCCATCTCCAGTTCCTGTCCATCTAAGAGTGCTAGCAGGTGGATTCCCTGTTCTGGCTCTGCCTCTACCTGCACTCTGTCCTCTTCCAGGGAGATGGTGGCTCCCATTTTGCTTAATAAGTCTCTACTCAGCAATGGAGTAGGACATTCCAGGGCATACTGAAATGAGTGAGAAATAATCCTAGACATGGCCTCACGAGCAAGAGGGAAAGTTAGTTTTTTTACCTTAGGACACGTGTCTATTCCGGTTATCATGCAGTTGCAATTGGAGAGGGGTGAATAGGCAGCGTCAGGACAGAGCAGGCAGCTCTGGTGTCCACGGGGAACTCAGCTTTCCTACCTGCCACGTCAAGGGTGACCCAAAGCTCCGCGGTGTGATAACGATGGAGTATGCTGCAGTCAGAGGCAGGGTGCTGTCAGTCAGTGTGTATCAATCTCATTTGAAAGCTTGGTGAGGAGGGGAGGCTGGCCAGGATTGCCTGCCAGCTTTCCTGTTTTAGCGTGGTCAGGGCAGCCCCTCTTCCAGTGACCCTCCGTCCTGCAAGACACACATTGGCTCCATCCAAAGTCAGCTGTCTTTGATGGGTTGGTCTCGTGGGCCTCCCAGGGTCACCCTGAGGTGGTGGATGAATTAGGGTAGCCAGAAGCTGCACTGTCTTGGCCAATCTCCTTTTCTCATCTGCCTTCTCTGTCTAGTCCCTGTTACTGAAAACCTTAAAAGCCTCCTCTGCCAAGGTCAACAGCAGGGTCTGGGGTCTGACCTCCAAATTTTCCTTAATTTCCTCCTGATGTCCAGAGCTGAGTGAAGGATCAAATACACGGCACATGATGCCTCCCCTCTGCTGCCTCTGGGTTTTCGTGAGTGCATTTCCCAAGGGCCTTAGGGACTTGATTGAGGAAGACTGCTGGAATCCCCTTCTTTCTCTGGGTAATTTTCTTGACCCTGTCATAGTGTACAGGTTTTACTATACATTCCCTTCTTCCTTCAGTTAGGCAGGTAACAGAGTGGTTCCTTCTAGCTTTATTTAGGTTTTCTTCATAGTCTCACTTGCATGGAGACTATGCCTGGAACTGCATATTGGGGTTTAGTGACCACCTGGCTATTGGCATATTCCTTAGCCTTTTCAAATATGCATTCCTTTTCATCAGTAGTGCAAACCATAACATCCTGCCATGTCAATGAAAAGGTGAAATTTAGTTTAACAAATTCATCTCTAAACTTATCAGGATCCTCTGAAAAATCTACCAAAGTTTTCTTTACATAGTCCTAGATCCACCACCAAAAAAGGAACATGCACCTTTGTCACTCCCTTGTTTCCATTCATTTTTCTGAGAGGAAAACAGCTCTGGGCAAGTGGGGAAGCAAAAGAGGGTGCCGGTTCGGAGTCTGATCGGAGCACTGTTGGGGACAGCCCAGGGGCTTCCCTCCCTGAGAGGGTAGGGTAGGGAAGAGTTCCAGGGGTCTGAGCCTGGAGGTCCACTTCCTCAGGTTCCTTCAGGAGGAACCTGGAAATAGGAGCCACACACACCTGACAAGAATCCAGCAGCCTTGGGTCCTAGTATAATTTCATAAAAGCTTGTACCTAAGTATCTCTCCCCATTTCTCTGTCCATTCACAGAATAGGTCCGGCTGTAGGATAGTGTTGAAACTAGTAGATCCACTTCCACCCATGGCTATTTTTCTTGCTCTGATGTCTATTGGGGCAGATTGTATTACAGAAGAAAATCAGTTTCTTTTTTTTTTTTAGTTAAAAAAAACTTTTTTTGAGACAGGGTCTCACTGTGTCGCCCAGGCTGGAGTGCTCCGGTGCAACCACAACTCACTGCAGCCTCAACCTCCTGGGCTTAAGCTGTCCTCTCACCTTAGCCTTCCGAGTAGCTGGGACCACAGGCAGGCACCCCCACTTCCGGCTCATTTTTCCTGTTTTTTGTAGAGGTGGGGTCTTCCTGTGTTTCCCAGGCTGGCGTTTCTTTTTCTTTAAATCGTCTGATTTGAATTCCTTCCATTTAGAAATGATACCTCCCAGACGTGAGTCTTGGAAGATGCCTGGGGCATTGCCCATGACTGTACCTCCTGTGTCCGCTTATCTTATTAAAGGGCCAGGGCAGGGTGCAAGCACAGGCGTCAGGTGAGGAAAAGAGAGTTGAAGTGCTCCTAGCCCCGCACAGCGCAATACAGGTCACACAAAAGGGCTGGCGTGGCCAGCGAAGGGAACTTCTCCCCAAAACCGAATGCCAGCTTGGGTGGTTTCTTTTTTTTCTTGAACCTTACACCAGGTCCAGGTTCTGCTGACCAGTGTCCTGCACTAGATAGTAACCAAATGACAGTCAATAAGATATTGAATTAAACACACAGAAAGAAAAAACAATCAGGGCATGAGCCCCACGTGCTGTCAGTTCTCCCCACACAAAGGCAGCACCCAGAGTCCCTAGACTGGAAGACTGAACAGACACAGAAAAGCTCACAGGCTTTCCTTCCCACCGAGTGTGGCAAAGGGAGGGAAAGCACTGACAGACTTGAAGATGGCAGAGGCCAAAGCCAGGGTGCCCAGTAGTTCTCACCAGCCGTGTCGGTCCGTCCTGCACCCGTGTCTATTCAGGTTGAGCCAATGAAGTTAAAAGTGAAGGAAGGAAAGCAGAAAGGAAGAAGAAGGAAAATGACAAGTAGGGGACACGAGGGAAGGGAAAGCGTTGTCTGGGGCGGGGGTGGCTAGGAGTGTCACGGAGGCCAGAGGAAAACTCACCAGTTGCTGCTGCAGTGCTGAATCAAAGGGGCTGGCTGTTCATCCCCCACACAGGGGTCGCCTCCCTCTGGCTGTTGGCTCACAAGCCTCCCTGCCGGGAAAGAAAATGCTCCTTGTGCTCCTGCCTGGCTCACTAGAGAATCTGTTATGGCGCCGAGCAGGTTTCCCAGACAGAGCTTTTATCTGGGGGCTTGTGCTTGAGCAAGCAAGGGAGACAGCGGGTGCACCAGGGCTCTGTGGCCGGCTCCCTGGAAAAGCCAGGAGAGACATTTTATTAGCAAAGCCTGGAAACGGACATCAGGAGAGGGACACGTAGGCTGGGCAGGGCAAAGCATGTGAGAGGCAGAGGATGCGGGTCAGCGTATCTGCTGGCTGATGGTTATCTTGGTTAATGGACCACCTGGTGGGCTGGTCAGAGGCAACAAGGCTTTAAACAAGCTTGTTTAGCCCGAGGCCTGTAGGCCTCATGCAGTCCAGCAGGGTTTTGAATGCGGCCCAACACAAATTCATAACATTTATTAAAACATAAGATTTTTTTGCGACTTCTTTTTTTTAAGCTCATTAGCTATTGTTAGTGTATTTTATGTGTGGCCCAAGACAGTCTTCTCCCAGTGTGGGCCAGGGAAGCCAAGAGATTGGACACCCCTGCTGTAAATCAGTTACTGAGTGTTCCTGAGAGGGGACACTCCACTCCTTGATTTCATGTTTAGATTTCCTAAGGCCAGTTCCTGGGATTCTTTAAGTAGAAGGCCTGGTTAAACATGAAGAAAGAGCCGAATCCCATTCCTGTTCTGTCTCATGACTCTCCATCCATTAATGTGTTTCCTGGAACATTTAAAAAGTGACCTCATGTTTTCATAATCTGAATTTTGATGTGTCTTTTGTTTACTACTTTATTCCGAGGGCATATAGAAAGTTACCTGGCGTTGGCCAGGCACAGTGGCTCATGCCTGTAATCCCAGCACTTTGGGAGGTCAAGGCTGGTGGATTGCTTGAATCCAGGAGTTCGAGAGTAGCCTCGGCAACATGGTGAAACGTCATCTCTACTAAAAATGCAAAAATTAGCTGGGGGTAGTGGGTGCATCTGTAGTCTCAGCTACTTGGGAGGCTGAGGTAGGAGAATCACTTGAGCCCAGGGGGTTGAGGCTGCAGTGAGCTATGATCATACCACTGCAGTCCAGGCTGGGTGACAGAGCGAGACCCCGTCTCAAAAAAAAAAAAATACCTGGCTCAGAATAGATGTGCAATAAATAGTCTTTTTTGTGTATGTGAATGAATGATGAATGGAAGACTGAAGTTAGTTATTATATATGAGATATTGTGGGGGCCATTCCGAGTCCAGTATTAAGGAATTTACAGAGTTGCAGATGACAAGTTTGTTAATGTGTGCTGAGAGCTTTTGTAGCCCCTAGTACCATTTTAAGTTCTTCACTTGGATTGTTTCATTCAGTCCTCACAGCACACTCATGAATTAAGTGCTGCTGTTATTCCCTTTTTGCAGATAGGGAAACTGAGACTTAGAGAAGTTAATTTGCCCAAAGTCACCTATCTAAGAAAGGGTGGAGCTGAGATTCAAACTGTGACTTCAAGCTCAAGGTCAAGGCATCTGAATAGTTTTAACTATAGTCCCGCCTTTTGTTTAAATAAAACCCTAATTCTTTTAATTTAGTCATTTTTAAATTGGTCCTTTTAAATTAGCTGTTTAAATAAAAACGTAATTCTTATATTGAAAAAAATGTGAATAAACATCATTTCAGCTTGTCCTTTAGAAAAGTGTCATCCTTACCAATTGGAAATAATTTTCAAGCTTAATTTTTTTCTAGATCCATGAAAATAAATTTTCACCCTTTCCTAATATGTTTTATATTAAATATGCTTTTAAAGTGATAAATGGCAATTCTGATGCTCTGGGAACTGCGAAGTACTGGCTGGTTAGAACTCTGAGTGGAATAATGGTAACTGGCCCCCCGGAGATGGTTTCCTGGGATGGAAAGTGTGTTGGCGTTTGGCAGTGGTTGTTGGGATATTGATGCATATCTGATTTATCATTTTTTGCATGTTCTGGATTGGGGGAGTTACCACATAAATATTACTGAACTTTAAGTTGTGTAAGAGTCAATTCTTCTGGCTACCTGTAACAAATAACAGGTATCTTAAAAAGGTTGATTGAGAATAGGCAGCAAACTAGAGATGGCCCAAAAAAACATTGGAACATTTGAAACATTCTTGTTAGGCTATCTTTAGCTACTTCTGAGTCTAAATACTTCATGATCGGTTTGTGATTTGTGTCCTGATCGTGAAGTATTTAGGCTTATCTGTGTAATGAAGTACTTAGATTTAGAAATAGTATAATGATGTTACCTGAGACCTGTGTCCACTGAAGGTTTACTGTGTTGGCTTAAGGGTCTAAAGTAATTAAACTGAAGCCCTTTGTAGAGGGGCCCTTGAACAGTAGCAAATATATGTTTGCCATTTTGGTAGTGAGTATCTGCATTTGTGTAGTAAATGAGCTCATGAGTAAATTGAGGAGCAAATAGACTCATCTTTCTCCTCTTTCCCATCTTCCCATAGATGCAAGCCTCCCCTATCCAGCCCCATTCTAGAACTGCATTCAGAGGACACACTTCAGATGGGCAAGTATCAACCTCATACAAAATGGACTCTATTAGTATTTTTGCTTCCCACCCCCTTTTTAAAGATGGGGTTTGTGTTGGGTGTGTGTGTGTGGTGTTATACAATGTATTGTCAACTGAAGAATGACAAGGTTCAAAAATCTGGAAAGGATAGCTTGCTTTCTCAGAAAGTGTTGCAGCCTGTAGGGTGGCCATTCTAACAGGCTGGGAAGCACAGCCTCCTGCCAGAAGCCAACAACAGACACTCTGAAGGAGGGGCAAAGGGAGGATGAATTCACGCTCAGCTGGGTGGGTGAACATACATATTTAATGAGCTATAGGAGGAGTCATGAATATTTATGAAGGGAGAGTGGCGTGCATGTGCAGTTGAGCTTCACACCCTATCATAGGTCCCATGTACAAAAAAATGGCAGTGTAGCATGATCCAAGGGTGGAGGTTTTGGCCCTCTGACATCAAAAGGCAAGGCAGAGGACACAAAAACCCACATCTGGCCAGAACCACTCCCTGGTCTGTGGTTTCTTATCAGGAAGGAATGCTGGTTGATTGTTTTGAAGTTGCCAAAGGGAGGGGCAGCAGTCAGGCAGCTGGTTGGATGAGAGCAGCAGCAGAGTCTTTTGAAAGGGCTGGTTGCTGTTTAGCCTTTAGGGAAGAACGCCTGCAGGCAGTTAGTGAGCAAGGGGTTTAAGGAGTCATCCGATCTCCCATCCCCACGTGGCCAAGAACCCAGTTTTCAAGGTCACTCTGGGGTCCTCTTGGTTCAGGAGACTGGGAGGTCTTAAAATTTTATTTTTAGCCTACAGTAGACCTCTGCCGAAACATTTACACTTGTGTCAGGGTTACCACGAAGGAATTTTCAGCGACTTTCTATATGACTCTTCTCAGATGTCCTTGGGTCTCTAATCTTAAGTCTTTCTGTAAAGACCTTGAATTAGTTGCCAACATTTCAAAAATAAATTTCTCATTTAAAAAAACTCGATTTCTGGCTGGGCATGGTGGCTTATGCCTGTAATCCCAGCACTTTGGGAGACCGAGGTGGACGGATTACCTGAGGTCAGGAGTTCGAGACCAGCCTGGCGACCATGGTGAAACCCCATGTCTAAAAAAAAAAAGAAAAAATCTTGATTTCTAGCTTTTCTTGGAAAAATCAGAAGATGTTGTAACATTAGGCCATGATTTCTACAAGGGAACATTTAAATAGTGGCTGCCTCAGTCAAAGGAGTTGCCCATCCTCCAGTTCTGTCCCCACTACTCTCTGACATCTTATACATGACCTGCTTCACTCATTTCTGTTACCTGCTTGGCCCTGGCAGTCAATTTTTCCCCCCAGTTTTTTTCCCTCAACTTTTAATTGTGACCGTGTCTAACAATGCCTCTCTCATTTCTGAGCCTTTCAAATTATGGATAAATCTCTACCACAATCTTGAGTTGTTTTCAGTTTTTGTCTGAGAGAAGTTAAAGGGGTTTATTGGTAATTCAGGTCAGAGAACATCCGGTGAGGACGGCCTTCACCAGTGGTCAGCACAGGTAACACTGTGGGCATCAGGTGACTAGATGAGCCAGGTCCTTTTATTACAACAAATAGGGACATGCGGAGAGGGAAAGTGTTGTCTGGGCGGAGGTGGCAAGGAGTCTAGGCTTTTTCTTTTTTTTTTTTTTTTTTTGAGACAGAGTTTCATTCTTGTTACCCAGGCTGGAGTGCAATGGCACGATCTCGGCTCACTGCAACCTCCGCCTCCTGGGTTCAGGCAATTCTCCTGCCTCAACCTCCTGAGTAGCTGGGATTACAGGCACGCGCCACCATGCCCAGCTAATTTTTTGTAGTTTTAGTAGAGACGGGGTTTCAGGATGGTCTCGATCTCTTGACCTTGTGATCCACCCACCTGGGCCTCCCAAAGTGCTGGGATTACAGGCGTGAGCCACCGCGCCCGGCCGAGTCTAGGCTTTTTCTAGCCCGTTCCTTTAAATTCTTCCAGCCTCTACCCATTACCCAGTTCCAAGTCTGCTTCCACATTTTCAGGTACTTAGCCACAGTCCCACTTCTCAGCTTCTCAGTACTGGTTTTCTGGCTTACTACCTTGTTTTGTGCTTCTGTAACAGATTACCTGGGACTGGGTACTTTATAAAGAACAGAGAATTATTACAGTTCTGGAAGCTGGGAAGTTTGAGATTGAGGGGTCCGCATCTGGCAAGGGCCTTCTTGCTGCGTCATCCCATGGAAGAAGGTAGAAAGGCAAGACAGCATGACTGCAAGAGAGAGGTGAAGGGGTGCAGACTCATTCCCAATCCCAAGATAATGGCATTAATTCATTGGGACTTAATCACCTCTTAAGGGTCCTACCTTTCAACACTGTTGCATGGGGGATTAAGTTTCTAACACACGAACTTTAGATGAGACACATTCAAACCATAGCACCCTAACACTGGGTATTGTGGTTTTAAAAATTTTCTACCAGTCTGGCCAGGTGCCTGTAATCCCAGCACTTTGGGAGGCCGAGGAGGGTTGATCACCTGAGGTCAGGAGTTCCAGACCAGCCTGGCCAACTTGGTGAAACCCTGTCTTTACTGAAAATGCAAAAATTAGCTGGGTATGGTGGCAGCTAATCCCAGCTACTCGGGAGGCTGAGGCAGGAGAATGGCTTGAACCTCAGGGGCAGAGGTTGCAGTGAGCTGAGATTATGCTGCTGCACTCCAGACTGGGCGACAGAATGAGACTCTGTCTCAAAAAAAAATTTTTTTTTTTTTTTTACCAGTTTGGTAGGCCAAAATGATGCCCTATTATTTTTAAAAAATTATATAACTTCGAATGCTAGTGAGATGGAACGTCCGTCCTTTGTTTTATTGGCCTTTGGGACACTTTGTAAATTTTTTCATTTCCTTCTTCCATTAGTTGGTAGTTTCTTTCCTTTTCAGTTTATAGGAACCCTTCGTAACACAAACACATAGATGTGTTCTTTGATAAAGGTCTGTTGTCAACTTTTTTTTATTGAACTTTTTTCTCATTCTTTTAACTTTGTGTCTCATGTGGGTAAATTTTTTAGTCTGGTTCTTTATAGTTTTTGATTTTACCATCGTGCTGAGAAAGGAGAATTTGAATAAAAATGAAATAAAAATGTGAATGAAAATTTGGGCAAACCGATAGGTGATCATAAAACTGACAAAAAATATTTGTTAAGAAATGACCTTGTTTTATCAAACCTACAAGGCTGTGACAGTAAGAATCACCATTATTTATTCATCAGTAAGAAAAAAAAAGTACCGACACTTAAGCTGACACATCACCAACTGTTAGATGCATCCTGATTTCAGAAATGTTAAAATGTGAAAGGATGCACCTTAGAATTGATGATATATTTTTTTAAGCTAAAATCTGCCTAGGGTAAAAAATCAGAAGTGTACAAATGGGCACATGAAGAGTCAGAAGGTGTTTTGAAAAGGAAGACTGAGTGTGGTGTCTGTCGCCTGTAATCCCAGTACTTCAGGAGGCTGAGGCGGGAGCATTGCTGAGACTACCTAGTGAGACCCTGTCACCAAAACATAAACTAAAATTAGCTGGGCATGGTGCTGCACGCCTATAGTCCTAGCTACTTGGGAGGCTGAGGCGGGAGGAAACCTTTAGCTCAAGAGTTTGGAGGCTGCAGAGAGCTGTGATCGCACCACAACACTTCATCCTGGGTGATAGAGTGAGACCCTTTCTCTCAAGAGTTAAAAAGGAAATTGCGTTCTGTTATCCCCTTGCTTAAAACTCCCTACTGGGTAGAACCCATATTGTTCATTAGGCCTCTGTGTGCCTCCTGATTTTTACTTTTTTTTTTTTTTTTTTTTTTGAGACGGTCTCACTGTTGCTCAGGCTGGAGGACAGTGGTGCAACCACAGCTCACTGCACCCTTGAATTCCTGGGCTCAAGTGATCCTTCTGCCAAAGTCTCCAGAGTATCTGGGACTACAGCTGCGTGCTGCCACACCCAGCTGATTTAAAAATTTTTCTGTAGAGACGGCATGTCACTATGTTGCTTAGGTTGGTCTCAAACTCCTGGGGTCAAATGATCCTCCTGCCTTGACCGCTCAGTGTTGGGATTACAGGCATGAGCCGCGAAACCTACTCCTGATTTTCCTTTTGACCTCAGTAACTATGGCCTAGCCACACAAATTTTTTGCTGTTCTTTGTGCTAAACATGTTCTTTCCCTCAGTCCTTTTCACTTTCTCTCCCTTCTTTGCCCAGTGGGCTCCTTCTCATCTGCTCAGCTGCTACCTCCTCAGAGAGGCCCTCCCTGACTACTAGGCTAAAGACCCCTGCCCCATGCTGTCTTATGTCACACTCTTCTTTCTCTTTGAGTTTCCTTGTAGTACTAACCACTCCCTGATATAATATTTATTACTCATTTATTTAATGATTCACATTCTCTCTCCCTCTTCTACCGTGTAAGCTTCCTGAGAACAGGGACTGCTTCTTTTTCACCACTGTAACCCCTGCATCTAAAGCAGTGCCGAGTGCACAGAGATTGTTGAATGAATACTCACATGACTGCTTGAATGGATGAAGGTGTTTGTGTTTTTGTAATCCACTTCAGCTCTGGTGAAATTAGGTAGGCAGAAAGACAAAAAAGAACAGCAAGTGTGAAAGCATTTCAGAGTAGGAACAGGATTTCAGCTGGGCCCTGAAAAGGAGACCTAGGGAGCAGATGCTGTCAGCCAGGGCACACTGAAGGAAGAGCTGGGAAGGCCAGTGTGGCTGGGGCTCTGGTGGCAGGAGTTGCACGCTTCAAGACTGAGGGTTTTGTAAAGCAGGCTGAGAATTTTGGGCTCCATTCTGAAGGGAGTGGGAAGCCCGTTACACATGCCCCATGACACCCTGAACTTCTCTGTAGAACTCACCACACTTGACCTTGTTCTCTGTTTCCCACTGGATTTTAAGCCCCATGAGGGCAGGGGCCATGTTTTCTTGTTCATCAGTAATTCCCAGGACTTGGCTCAGTGCCCTCTAAGTGTCAGATGGGTAGTC